TACCATTGTATAGTTGTGTTAGATAATGATTATAACGTAAGAGAAGACAATAAGTATACACTTAAAACGTGATTATTCTGTAGTATTTTCGATTGATTATCATTTACCACAAATTCTGGTTCCCTGAAACAATCCCTAAATTATATCCACATTTGTGGATAATTTAACAATTAAGGTCAGTTCTGATCACCCAGTAGGAATTTTAATTTAGAGATTTTTCAATTTAGGGTTTCTTTTATTATAAGATAAACCACATATACAGTAATCCAATACCATCCTAGTACTCATACCATACTGAATATCTGTTATTCATTAGTTTTACAACATAAATCGAAAATTTTATTGTCTATAAGTCAATTCTGGTGACCATAATTGTCTTTTATTTAATCTCTATATTTCCTTACATAAAGCGTGAGCATTGTAAATAAAAGTTATGATAAACTCTTCAGAGAAGACAAATATTTAATTCACAGTCTCATGATAAAATCTTTGCATCTGAATAGAATGAATAGAATAAAATTAAAGTAGAGCAACAGAGTGGGCTTGCAAAATTAATCGTTCTTTCACAGGGAAATGCTTGCTCATGTCTGACACACTGTTTTCTAGACTAATCACTACTTTGTTTTATAAGAGAATATCGAATTTAGTTTTTAAATGAATTACAATAACTAGATAAAATCGATAAGATAAGAAGACAAAAAAACGGATCAGATTTAAACTTCTGCATTGTTTTTAGAAACTGGTGACCAGATCATGGTGTAAGAATACGTAACATTTGAATGAGATTTATGTTGTAAAACTAATGAATAACAGATATTCAGTATGGTATGAGTACTAGAATGGTATTGGATTACTGTATATGTGGTTTATCTTATATTAAAAAAATCCCTAAATTGAAATCCCCACTTGATGACCAGAACTGACCTTAATTGTTAAATTATCGACAAATGTGGATATAATTTAGGGATTGTTTCAGGGAACTAGAATTTGTGGTAAATGATAGACATTCATATTTTTTGTAAATTATAAACGAATGTAAGGCGCACGTAATTTGAAATTCGAGTATTATTTTATTTTCATCTTATTCATAAATCATTCGATAGAGCTCGAAGAGCCGATTAAGAATAACTAGGCTTTAGCTTTAAAACACGGTTTTTATATGAAAAAAATTTGAAAATACTAGAAGGGTCTTAAATTTCGAAAATCTATACTACTAAGAAAAATATTAACATGTTTTGTTGTTTCATTCTGAAGTTCTCTAATTTATTTTTTCTGATTTCCCCTATGAAAGTAACTTACAAAGTATGTGATAAAAAACAAATTCTCTATTCCAAATTTAGATTACTTTCTAAATTAGTCTAATTCTGTAAATTAATGAGTACAAAAAAACAGGAGTCTCAGTTATGCCAGAGTCAGTAAAAGTAATAAATATCTAAAAGAAATGCTACGTAGGGATGCGGTGCATAAGCTACTAATCTAAGTGTGAGAGTGACAAAGTGTGCGCTTTACATTGTATGTGTAAGGCCAAGTTTGCCAAAGTTTCTCAATAATCAGATGATAAAATGATTATAGTGTTTCTCATTCTAAAAACTAAGATAAAGATAATTGAAACGATGACTGAAGCATAAGAAATATATGACTTTCAGAATCATCTCTTTGTATATATAAAGTGTCCCGTATAAATAGCGTATTCGTACATCAGAATAGCTATTGTTGAAAACATATGCAATCTTTTTCTGAAATTTACAATTTGAATTTACATAATTGAAAATTTGTAACTTATAACGATTTAAATATCTTCTAAATTCAAACAGAATAATCTCACTTTCCGCACTAGCTGGGTCGAATGCTTTTTGGAACGAGTAACCTCTGATCAGTACATACGGAAACAAAAACGATTTTTCATTAAAAACACTTAACAATCTAAAAACAAAAGTTTTTATAAAAACCAAAACATTTTTGAAAACTGTGATTCTAAAAAGCAGACCTATTAGTTTTGCAAGTTCTTTCGAATTCTGGATTTTTTCTCACTAATGATTGAAAAGGATTTTTAATAAAACTAGGAGTTTAGTTTCGTGAAACTATGCGAAATTCTTCCTCCAAAACGGAAAAAGCTTATAGGATGTTGAAAAATCCTTTTTTTTTAAGAATGTCGTAGCACTTTGAAAATCAAACTATGTGTGGCCAATAAACAGATGATAACACGACATGTACAAATTGATGTTTTATTTGATGTCACTCAATTTGTAGTTTCAGTCACTTCAAATATGTATGCAATCTATCAACGGTTAATAAAGATTTATCTATATTCTGTTTCCTCCAGTTTTAAATTCATTCAGCTTGCTCTTGTGGAAAGCGTGTCATTTCTCTAGCAAAAGCAGCGACCGGATTTGTTGGCATCATTTTCAATCGAATAATTTCATTTTCGGTGCCTGTAGATGTTTTTTGGAGGGAAATCAGCAAAAATTCCAGTCATTGCCGATCGTTGGGACTGGTTGAATTTGTTTTCCGCAAGAATCCGCGATGGAAGATTCAGATGAATCCCTCTGCAGTAACTTCAAACAAAATGATCATAAAAATGATGACATTTTAATTCTATTGAATAATCTGAAAGTTCTTCATCAGAAACAAGTACGTTGCGAAATTAACTTTAGTGAATAAAAACTTTTTCGTTGTAAACAAATGAAGAAGAATAATAAAACGAATTCTTTTAGGACACAAAAATGGATCAAATGATTAACTTCTAGTTTATAATGATAATTTGATTCTGTCATTTCTAAAAAACTCTCAGGAATTATATCTACTTTTAGCTAGATTATACAAAGAAAAACATTTTTAGACATCATAAATAAATGTGTCTAGAAGTAATAGTTATTATGCACTGTTGTAAGAACTATAGATCGTAGCATCGCATTTGCATGTGAAAAAAAATTGTTACTAATTCCCTTGACTTCATTTATACGATTCACCACTATCTTACTATCAAATTTCGGCTAATACACATGGTTATCTGTTGATTGTCTCTGATTTACTATGATGTTTTTGGATTTTGTCTGCACGGACACAAAAACCGTGAAACTCATGAGTGTTTTTATACGCGGTTTCTCGCAGTCAGTTTGGCATGGCTTTTTTTCATGGTTTTGGTTATTAATGCTTTTGTTTCCTATAGTTGCAATATGACGGTGTTGCTTTGATGGTTTTAAAACCGTTAGAAAAATCGTCCAAGTAAAACTGTACAGATAAAACCGTCTACTTTGAAAGGAAAGAAAAAAAGGACAGCTCTTCCAGAAATGGAATCTGGGAAGTCTGGTGAGGATGAATTATGAGATCGAGGCACAAACCACTGAACTAAGGAACTTACAGAAGTAAGTCTTCGGACTGCATACTCATCATGTTTTCGGATAGATTTCTGAAAAAAAATTCAACACCTTACGAAAAGCTATCGCTGTTGAATTTGTAAACTCTTTGCTATCGTAAATGCATTTGAGGTATAAAAGAGAAACGCTAACTGTATACGTGTGCACAGATATCATATGACACAATCGAGTGTATTCTATGACGAACGTCTAGAAACTTACGATTAGCATTTTAGGAGAAGATATTCACTATAGTCTTCTTTGAACTGGTCTAGATGCTTGTTGACGGTTAGAGTCATTCATATGTGTTCCAGATAACATCCCTTCTCCCTGTCCAAAGTGCCAGTTTTGTGTTCTTAACTGCCTGACTAATGCTTTTTATTGAATATTCCTGAGTACGAGATAGATTTGTCAAAAATCTCAAGGCTCGCTCTATTAACCTTACGTTAGTTTATCAGGAAGACTTTCTAACGCGCTAACTGCTGAAACTGAACATTTTTTTATGAATTTTGAAGTTTCGATGAAACTATCAACGAAAAAGCATGAGTAACTCTTTCATGGTTTTCCTCTTCTCACTTTTATTTTCATTGTTTTCCTTTGGCAAGCTGCCAGTTCACGATTGTATTTCTACAGTTTCGAGCTTTATGATATTTTTTTGACGGTTTTAATTTCACAGTTCTCAAACTGACGGTTATATTTCAGAGTTTTTCTTCGATTGTTCGAAAGTGGGCGGTTTTGTTTCTATGGTTTTACTTCAACAGTTTTTCTTTTATACTTTTGAATTTCAAGGCTTCCATGATGTAGTTTTCTACTTCACGGTTGTCCTATACGGTTTTCTTTCCATGGTTATAGATTTCATGATTTTTCTTACGGTTTTTTTCACCATATATGAGATAGTATTGCAATATTTTGAATTTTTGAAAATGTTGCAGTGTTCCAGTTTGATCTTGATTATCATTTCAGTAAGTTATTAGGACTTAACTAGAGTTCCAGTTAGGTCATATTCTATGCTCAGTTTTATTAAAAGTCATATAAATATTCGAACATTTTCTAATATGTCAACTGAATGAAGTGAAAATGGAAGACTTTTTGTCCCTCATACATAGATACGAATGATAAAAAACGAGTGAGCAGATGAATTGCAAAAAGGAATATCCTCATCACTGAAGACAACTAAATTGAATCATTGAGTCTTTACCAAATCTACATCGAAGGTTAAAATAAATTGCCTAATGTATCCTTATTCCACAATTCAACTGTTATCGGTCTGTATTTATCTAGTAATAATGTCTTTTTCATATTTTTTTTCTTATAAAAGACCATATGTTGGTCTTTAACTGTGTGTATAAATAAAAAGAAAAGAACACAAAAAAAATGAACTCTATCGTACAGTATCAAAAGAAAAACGAAAACATAAAACATAAACAAGTGTATGTGTAAGTGAGAAAATGAAATGTGATATTATGACTAAAAATTTAAAACAATGTGGGTCAAAAAATAGAGATGGGGATTCGCTCAGATCTTGCTCTTTGTTAACTATGAAACACAACTGATCTAATACTATTGTTTGCTGAACATAACAAAGCAGAAAGGCTAACAGAGAAAGTGAAAAGAAAAAATAACAATGAATTTTCTATGATGAACTTATCGTAATAATTGTATAAACCATAATGCTAATGATAAATTTAAAAATAAAATTGCTAATATTACACGATTTCGATAAAAATAATTCTAAATAAAAAAAATTGAAAATATCATGTATCATTTCAGTAGTAACAGTATAAAAAGTTTTTAAAATTCTATTCATACCTGAATGCTATCTATATAAGATTCACCAAAATCTGTCTGAATGGATATTTCTTGTGTAGGAGTATAGAAAGCATGCATAGAATCGGACACACAATCAGTCTACAAATATGAATAATATATAAGCGTCAATATATAAAACATGCAATTTTTGTTTAATGTCTTAATTCTAAAAATGATATTATACTCTTTACTTCATCTATCTCTAATTTAAAGAAAAACCTTGAACTTCCCTAATTTGTCGAGTCGATAAATGTCCAGCTGCTAACTGTAATTATGGTATTTTAGTCAAACAGAGCAAGGCAAGACATCCAATCATTTATAATAAATTGATGAGTAAAACATACAATACTCGTTAGAAATGATTGATACTCTACTATGATAATATTTAAGAGTATCTATCTATATGAGAAGAAATTCTCTCTCTATTCCAGTTGTCTTATTATCGTTGATCTATACTATACTATTCAATTAATTTCTATTTATTTGCTGGTTTATTAGAAAGCCAAGTATTATATGCTAGACAAATTCATTTTCAACCCTCCTTTATTAGAAATATTTTTTTGCAACTAACTACCAAATCGAATACATTCAAACTTGCAGAGAGTATCGACGTTGTTAAAAAAATTTTCCGAAAACCTTACTTTTAAAATATATATGGGAGAAATTGAAAAAAGAGTTCTTTTCAATCGTTTAGATACGGTTTAAATTTAAATAAGAACTAAATAATAATGTAATAGATAATAGAGTATTGGATGTTAGAATAATTTACAAAAACATATTCCCAATAGATTTTATAGATGGCAGGCATTTGAACAAAAAATAAACCATGCATTAGTCATCAATCTGACTCTGTTCGATCCGTGCAAATAACAGAGTTAGAAAGCAAATATTTAATGCATAATCATGCCATTCTCGCACACTCTGTTTACCTGTAACATAGCTTTAAGACGGCCAATATTGCTTGCAGTTCTTTCACGTTGGCGACGTATTTCTTCACGTCGCTGTGAACTAAGTATGGAAACTTCTTCTCTTGTCATACCTAAATAATGTTCGAATTTCAATCATGCTATCTATCTCATCACCACTAATACCTACCGGGTTTCTTCCTCGAAAATTCACCGACTAATGTGGGCATGCTAACTCGTTTATTTGCGGATGTCTGATTAATATTTGTAATACTTTCGAGGATAACTTTCCTCGGTAAAGACGGTGATCCACTACTCGTTAGCGCATTGCTCATAGGTACAGGATTGCCGCTATCCGTTAGTTTTTGCGGTTGTTCGGTAACACGTTTTCGAATACCGTTTTCTATAATAAACGTTTCCTTATTTTTTAAATTGTCACTGCTTCGTGCTGTTTCATTATCTTTATAGCCAGGATTTTTTACAATACTCGGTAACGATTTTCTACGAGGAACCGTCGATGTTCCCGGTATTGGAGAAGATTGACGAGATAATGGTTGGTTCGGATCATTAGTATGGTTATTATTAACGTAGTGTGTAGCACCAATCGAAGAAGAATTCGTGTTCATATCTGATATTATTGGCATGCCCGTTTTGTTAAAATGCATGGCCAATTCGGGATCAAAACTTGCACCACCACTACTTGTACCGCTATCGTGAAAACTAGAGTTTTGAGAATCAATAGCACCATGATATAAACGATTTCCGTGATGTTTTGAATGAATACCACGTAAATTCGCTCCTCCTCCAGGTAAATAGGCGGTGGCAGACGGTGTTATTGGGAAAGATGGTGAATTCATCATCATTTGTGGTTGTTGTTGTTGTTGTTGTTGTTGTTGTTGATAACGTTGTTGTGGATATGGTTGACGATAGAGTTGCTGCGGATTTGGATTATAAACAGACGATGATGATATTGGTGGTGTTTGACCTCGAGATCGAAAATCATTATTAGATGATGAATTTGGATTGAGCATATCTTCTGTGCTAGCTTCAACTCGCGTACTTCGTTTTAATGTTAGACGTTTTTGTTCTACTTTGTTAAATACACTCGGACCACCAGTGTCCGAGTAATTAGGAAGTGTTCGAGCAGAACCAAAATTTAACGATGGATTTGTAGTTATTTGAGATGCATGATCATCTTCAAAACTTAAATTACCTGGCGTAGAATTCTGATCGATCAATGACGATTGTAATGCAGAATAACGTTTTGGTACGGAAGAACCTAAAAATCAAACATAACAAAAAGTTTTAGCTAAAATAATTTGTAATAAAAAAAATTTCTCTGGATTGAAGTAGTTGCGCATCATTTTAGATACCTGACTGTTGTTCTGAGTGATCACTATACATTGTAGGAGACATTTTAATGCCTGTTAAATGTGAATCTTTGTAATAGTCTTGTTGATGTTGGAGTGGATTATTCTGCAACATTGATGATTGATATGGTCCCGTGGGAATTATTGGATGTGTTTGATACATTGACTCTGATTCTCTTAAAATAATACCCGGACCAAGTGAGGGCGTTCCATGTGGATTATTGAGCATATTTTGATAACGATGATCAACATATGTTTGAGGTGAGAGACGATTTGGAGGCAATAATGATTCATTAATGATTGCACCATTGATTCCACCGCCTATATGATTCCCAACCATCTGAAATTTTCCAGCTTCTGGATTACGATCAATTTCAAGTGGAATATAGGCTGGCCTTTTTTCTTCACCTAAACATTAAAAAATAGAAAAATTTATGAAATCGCAAAACTGTTGAAAAACTAGGGAATTTAAGAGATAATCAACTTACCTGGTTGACGAAAATCTGGTGCTACATTTTTTGCACATACTCTTGCAATATCACTATCGGCTCGAGCTTGCTTTGCATATATTTCGGCCGAATGTGCTTTTGCTCTAGCGTTATTAGCTCTAAACGATTAAAAAAAAATACATTGTACAATCGATAACTTTACCATAAATTGAACGGCGCAGTAATAAGTAAAAAATTCATAGAAATACAGGACATAAATTCATGAAGAATTTATATAATGACTAAAATCTATATAAAACTAAATATGTACAGCGATTTTAGCGTTGTTTGAGTGTCGTTCTCATTTCTAGCGGAGGAAAAAAAATAGCCTTCTTCGTAACTATGTATAAGAACTGAAAATAGTCTAGTATTTCGTCAGTAACTGGATGATGGCAACAATCACGATGGAATTCTACACACTTGTGTCAATGAGAAAGAAACGTATCAACACAGAGGCGATGATATCACAAGGAAATTGGAATTTACGACATTTTAATTTAAAACTGTACCTTAAACACTAATAAAATATTCACTATAAAAATTTATTTTCCAAGTATCCTCATTTAAAATGAATTTTACCTTGACATGGCGATTTCTGCTTTTTGCTGAGCATTTTGTGCTGCTTTTACTGCACTATTAGTCGCTTGATCAATTTTATCTCGAAGCTTCGATGATCGTAATAAAAATAATTTATTTGGTTTTCGTTTATCAGTAACTAGTATATTATTTTTATATTTTCCTTCTTCTTTTGTGCCATCACGAAACGTTGTTACACCATAACCATTTTTTTTATTATTGAACCATTCACCTTCATATTTTAAACCGTCCGATCTTTCAGCTATACCGAATCCTGTCCGTTTATCTGCTTTCCATTCTCCCATATACGTTTCGATAACATTGACGTCTAAAATATCTTCTTGTGAAATAAAACTATGATCACCATCGTCATTTGTTGATGTTATTGGAGCAGTTTTAACCGAATGTTTTGAATCGCCACTCGTTGTACTAGCTGTACTACGAAATGAACTAGTTTTTTTTGTTGTCGATAATTCTTCAATATCACTTGTCGATTTTTGTTTGCGTAATTTAGATAATAAAACTTTTCTTAGACTACTACGGCGTTCGGTACTATTTGACAATGAACCACGACGATTTGGAGCTGAACGATCAGCTGAATCCGATTTAGCCCGTAGTACAAAACCACCACGATTTTCATCAAAACGTTTATCTCTTTCTCGTTGAGTACGTTCATCGTCTTCTTCACTGCGTAACGATGTCAGTGAATCACGAACATCTTTTGAACGATAACGAGATGCGGTACCGTATGGAACACTACGTCGTATACCCCAACCATGTCGTAATCCTTGAGTTATTTGACCATGATATGTTCCTATAAATGGAAAAAATTAAACTTAAAGTTTTCCTTTTTTATGTTTCCATTCGAATAAATGTAATATCGTAGCTAATGGTAGTATACTAGAGTTGACGAACTTTGAATAAAAGTAGTAGGTCCACAGTGACAGACCTAATCGAATCTTACTAAGATCTTAGACAAATCTGATTAAGCTCGTGAAACCCACATTAAGTTTTCATAAGATTTTGCTAAGATCGTAGTAAGATCTTACTAAGATTATACTGTCTAAGTCATTTTCAACACTGGGTAAGAATCTCTTAGAATCTTAATAGTAAGAACAGTGATGTTTTTTTTTAATAAGATTCATTCGAGATTCGCTGTGAAATTTTGAATTTTTAATCCACATTATCCTGAGCAGCAGCTGTTCAGTGTTGAAGAATGAAGAGAAATTTCATATTTTCCGATGTTTGACCATGGATCTTGACCTGCATGTACACTCTAAAACGTAGTTGAACACTTTCGAGAGAGTCAATACTAGTTGAGTCTGAAAGAAAAATAACCGTAAAATCACTCATATTTTCGGTGTTACGTATATAGATGAATGAGAGAAAAACAGAAGGGTGAATGAAAGTAGAGTCATTAAATCTTATCAAAAATCTTAAAGAATAAGATCTTAGTAAGATAATTTTAAGAAGTGTCTAGGCTTTTTACTAGAGGTAGAACTCATGGTAAATCTTCACAGATATTAATAACTCTTTTTGATTTTATACTCAAAACACTCATTTTTGGCTTTCAGCGGTCACAACGCTTGAAGTTCAGCATACAGCTAAAAATAAACATAGACATTTAGAAATCATACAATAGAAAGAGGAAAATTTTCTAAATTCCTTTGTGTTTGGAAAACGTAAGACATGTTGCTGTTGAAAATAGATTTTATCTAACTTTTTTTCAATCTATACATGTTATAGAAAAACGCTCAAGTACTTCTATAGTCAATTATAATTTTATATATTAGAGATCTCCTATAGATTCATCTTGATAAAGTGAGAAAAATGCAATATTCATTATTTAGAAATCTAGAATTGTATGATACTCACACACACTTTTTGTGCGTGTAAGTGCATCTATCCATCTGTCTGTAAAGCTGTTATGTTTTCATATTCTAACAAACTACCTTTAAATGTCATTCACACGCAAACGACACAAGAATTGGAAAAAAAGGAAACATATAAAGAGAAAGAAAAGAAATCGACGACAAGACCACCAACGACCTCAAAAACAGTTGTTCGATAAAAAATATTCTAATCACAAACATTTCTTTTGTTTGATAAACAAGAATGGTAACGGCAAATAAAAATTAATGTATCTGTTGGTACATATAGAATCAAAGGTCTCATTCAATTGTCAAATACTTCTTGCAGATCTCGGTACAATTTTTTCTGTTACCTACTCAAAGATATCAAGCATAGTTTAGTATTGTTTTTATCATTTATTTTCAAGTAAAAAATTCTGATAGAATAGTTCATCTTGTTTCCTCTTCAATAGATCCCCACTCTATGCTTTATTATTATTGTATATGGCTGTCACTTTTCTGTTTTAGAATAGAATTGAAATTGATTGTGAAGATCTATTAATGAGAAAGAAGTAGGGTACAATAGTCACTACTGTTTTACTCTTATAGCTTCGTTAGCTTTTCAAAATTTCAAAGAAAAAAAGTTGGAAATATAACGTTCTATACTCTACAATGTAATTTGTCGCTAAAATTCTCAGTAGGATACTTACCTCCATCAGCATAACTTTCTACACCATATCCATCTTGTAATCCATTTGCCCATGTACCTTGAAATAAAAAGTGCATAAACTTATAAGATATATGAGTCTATTGAGGATAATATTTTACATTTTTTATTGTAAGCATCGCCCACTTGCACTCTTTTAATTCTCATCGAGACCGTGATGAATGATGAATAGAGTGTAGATGCTCTTTTGAATGAATTGCACACTTACCCTCATATTTGGCACCCGAAATATCCGACACACGAATTCCATATCTTCCTTTAAAACCTTGTGTCCATTCTCCTTTGTAGATCCATCTGCCTTTTTTTTCCGCACCAAGTCCATGCCGTTTTCCACTCATCCATTGCCCTTCATAACAATTTCCAGCAGGCTATAAATCAAACCATATAATTGAACGAGAATCAATCAACATTTTTTTAGTGTTGAACTTACCCATAGATAGATACCAGACACTTCATAACCGAATTGCCATGCTCCACTATATTCTCCTTGTCCTTTAGGTCCAGTGCATACTCCATGTCCATGAGCTTTTCCGTCTTCCCACCCTCCACAATAAGTTCCTCCGTCATCAAAATCAAATCGACCTCCTGTGACACCGGTGTTCATATTCTATTAGAAGACCAATAGCCCATGGTCAATAGTTTATGATATATTCCATTGCTATCATTTAACGATATTAATATCTGAGGGAAAAATAAGCGTCCGAATCTGATAATAGAATGAACGTTTTCAAGGATGAAAATTAAGTTAATAAATATAATTGAATTGAGTTAATTTTACCTAATAATAAATAGAGCACGAAATCGGTAAAAAACGCTTTACAAATTAAGTATAGTTGCGAGCAAATAATTGTTTTTTTATCATAATTTTCGTGCAATTTAGAAGCTCAATTGTTTGTTACGCATTTTCAAGGAAAAATAGTAGCCGCGTGATAATATGTGGAAAATATCATTGCTAAAATATAAAAAATATATAAAAAAACTCGAAGAATAGATAGAGACGGAAATGGGTAAAAAAATACTCCTCTCACGGATCTATATACATTTAGATAATCGTATATCTATCGTATAGAAGAAGATATTTATGTTGTATAATTGTAGGGATAGATGCTAGGAATACACACATTCCACAACAAAGAAGAACAAACATACATCGCCAAACCAAAAAGATCTTTGTGAGTTGTTGCAAAAGAAAGGAGAAAAAAGAAAGAAGAAAAGAGAGAAAGAGAAGGGGAGATAAAGTGTTTTTCATGTATGAGAAGTACATCAAAACACAAGGCAATAAATGACCAAAATAACTATATCCAGTTCAATAAATACATTCATTCACTCACTCATAGTTAATTTAATATGAGTACAGTTAAATATATATGAACTTTTTTTATTTCTTATTTATATAGGTAGCCGCGCTTACTTTCCTTTGAGATCAATGAAATGTTTTTCTATTTCTACTCTATTTTTGTTATTTATATTGTACGATCCCATCTGATTTTTTTCGTAATTTGAATCTGTTTACTCAAGCGATTTTGAATCGAACTTCGTTTACTTTTTCTGTAACTAACAACATCTGGCAAATTATCTTCCCTGACATTTTTTCTCATTCTTAAAGTTTTCTTATAATCTCAGAACTACCATTATTGTTCTATTGTCTAATTGTTTAAAATCGTATGGTGTTTTAATAGCTTTGATCAAATACCAGACAAACTCAAACGGGACGTTTTCAGCATAATATTCGATTACACAATAATTATAGTTTTGTTAATGGAAAAGAGCTTGAAGAAAAAGCTATCATAAAAAAAGGAACAAAAAGGTTAATCTTGCGCAGGATTCGATAAATTGTTTGTCCAGTTCTTCAAAAAAAAAAAAAAAAAAATGCTCTTATAGCTGCTGAATAAACCACTTTAGACATAAAACAAGATGATAAATTATGTGGAGGATATAAACGTTTATTAATAGAATGCAGGGAGAAAATATCTTATCGACATTCTAAATAATGACGGAAAAATTACAAGATCTGATGAAGAAGTTTGAGACATCAGAAAAAAAACTTGGATTTCTCTTAAAAAAGAATAGTTATACTTATATAGTATTAAAAGGATAAAATTATCTTACATATATGAGCATATAGATTCCATTTTGCTACGGAGTCTGATGATAGTTTTTTGATTTTTTCCACTAGAGATATCTATCAATCAATGTCAAAATATTTCATTATGAATGAAAGCAAAAAATTTCAGCTGACTTTCATTTATCACACAGTAGTATAAGCCTTTAACATCCTGAAACATCTGATAGTCAATGAAAAACGAGTTTTCTATTTTTGTCTTCTGTTTTTTCCCTTTCTGCATTAAATAACGTTCAAAAAACAAAAAAAATTTCCCAATTAAAAAAAAAAAAAAAAAAAAATTTTTTTTCTCTTTTTTTGCTCTTACTATAATTAATCTAACGAAAAAATTTTGTATCCTTTCCAATATAATCAACTAAAATAACCGCAAATAATAGATTAAAAATATGACACACATAGGATTTAATTATAACGAGGAGAAAAAAAAAAGAAGAAGGCTTACTCGTGTAGTAGTATGATTTTTTTTTCTTCTAATATACACGTTTGTATTATTATTATTGTAAGAAGAAGAAGCATTAACAGCATCAGCATCACAGAAGAAAAAAGAAGGAAGGACAATGTAAATTCGTCTCCTGCTTCATACTATATACTATTTACTTCGTCTTCATCGTCGTCGTCGTCGTCTTTTTATGTCGCTGTTGTTGTCGTAATAAACAGAACTAGTAGAATATTTCAAAAAAAAAAAAAATCGGAAAAATAGATGAAGAAAAAACTCTACCCAAAAGAAATATTAATAATAAGTAATAAATATACGGAAGAGATCTCTCTACAAAACATTTATATCACTATCAAAAGAAGAAGAAAAAAAATAGTCAGTAGAGAACATGGGAACGTGCGCTACCAGATAGAAATGACAAACAAACCAGACAACAAGATAAATAACTATGGACATTTTTTTGTTTTTTGTTTAATCTCTAATGTAAATGCCTACCATTATGCTACCTCTTGAATAAAGCGAAACAGATAGACAGAATGATCGTGGTTTCTACACTTATGATGATGATCATAATAATAATGACAATAATAATAATAATAATACTACTGATGGTGCTCTATCTGTATTTTGTTTTTTTTTTCTTTTACAATCGAGATAGAAAAAAAATCAAAAATCACGAGGCTATACTGCTCTTTTGCACGTTGTTGCCATTTTTTTCTGTTTCCTGCTCTTTTATTTCAGCTGTAGAGATGACAATAATAGAAGAAAATTTCTTTTTTTTTTGTTTTCGTAGATTAAAAATCATTACAAAACTCATATAATAAATTTTTTTCTTTTTATGGGTTTTCCATTGAAAATTTCTGTAGACAAAAAAAAATGGACAGAAGAAACGAGTGAAAAACAATGCGAATCAAAAACAATTTTTTCTGTCTCCGAAACTTTTTTTATCATTTGGGGTTAGAGTCTCTCGCAACGTAGTTCGTCTATTTTAGCTATTTATGAGACATATTTTTTTCCTTCTTCTCATTGAATAAGAATCACTATAATATAGATTCACATTACTTTACCTGCTGTTAAGATATCTATTTTATATAATTACTTTACACTATAAGAAGTTTCATTACATTTTAGAATTGATTTAATACAATAACTTCCACTCTTCTTTATCTATCCAAAACATATGAAAACTGTATACAACGAAGATTAAAGAATCTCTTATACATCTTAATACTAGAATAGATAACGAGCAGACGATTACAATAATCATCATTGTTCTATGTCTTAAGAAAGGTTCGAGCTATTGACATGAAATTTTGTCTCGATATAGCTCACACATTATGCTCATCACCCTATGAGCTTCAATTCATTCAAGTTAAAATCCATAAGATATCTTTTCACACCAATGCATAGAACTCTCTAGTCAATAAGTAAAATAAACACGTATCACTGTCCGATATCTATGGTAGAAATTCAAACGTTGGCTTGTACTGATCGAAAGGGTACAGTCATTTTAAAACTGACAATTACTTTTGACTTTTTGCTTCTTTGATAACAAACAGTCGAAATCGAGATCATTTTTTCGTGTAAACACCCTTCTAGGTAACAATAATATTATTTGTAAAAAGTTGAATATGCTGGAGGATGTAGATGACATGTGGGAAGATAATGATGAACCATCTCTGGTACGACAAACTCGTGGAGTTAACAATTGCTCTCATTACTATAATGTTCTTGGTATCTTAACATTATATTCATTTAAAAACTATTATTACCAGTTCTCATAGTTCTCGACATTTAATACGAACGTTGAATATGACTCTTCATGTAAACTTTTTCACGCCTCTTTTTTTAGCAAGACTAATGTGACTGAATCAATAACCACTATCTACATTTCAAATCTTAGAAACATGCCTCTAGCAAACAGTTAATGCTTTTTCGCTATCGCATCTACGGATTATTGCATGTAAAGAGACAAATAACAAAGAAAACTTGTGCGTAGTGATGAGTTATGTATATAGAGCTCCTTAAGTAGATGTGAAAGAAACATTAAGAAAGTAATAAAACATCGACGATTTGATCTTGTGTTTTATGTGCATCGTTTTACCTGTATCTTCTTCTTTCTCTGTTCGGACATCTAATTGCCATATGCATACAAATGTCTTCGAATAATAGAAATAAAAAACATTATTTTCTTGATGTCTAATAGAAAATTATCTTTTCTATCTAAGCATTCTATATCGCTGAGGTAAATATATTTACTATGATTAGGACTAGACGAAAGACTAAAATATGAATAATGCTTACAGCTGACAAAATGTCCCGCTCATTTAATACATTTTAAATTTAGTGTAGCAAAAAATTTCATAAACTTGAAATATTCATACCCACGAGTATATATTGGTGGGGATAAAGAATTATTAGTCATGGGTTTACAGAAATTGTAGGCAATCTGACTGAAAAGATCAAAACTGATACAAATATAAAACAAGTCGATCTGGGCAAAAATTTTCAGGATATATATGTATTCTTATGTAATCCACAAATCTACTATATATTCAACGAATAGGTTCAATGTCAATAGACTAGTGTTAAAAAGAAAAATATTAATTAAATAATCTTCAAAATCAATAGTAAATATTAATTAAATATTTATTAATCATCGGAATATTTTTTCATCTTATTTAAATATTAGTCCGTTAAATGTTTTTCTTTATTTTAAAATAATTAAATATTTTTCTATCTGACAAAAAACTGTTTTAATATTAATATCATCGTCGGCTTTAATATTTGTTTTTTTCTAAAAAGTTAATTAAATATTTTTCTATATTACAAAAAAGAAAAATATTTATTAGTTCTGATAGAAAAATATTTAATTGATTTTTAATATTAGTCGTTTAATATTTTTTCTTTTTTAACATCTTTCGGCATATTCAACTAATATATCTTAACGTGTATATGTGTGAGTTTCAAAGATTTCTGAGATAATATTTCCACGAAATTATGGAACTTGATATCACTCTGTTTGAGACTATTCTCTGCATCATCTAAAAATTTTTAGTGAAAATATTACGTCTACGTAAAGGAACCGCATTTTAAGTAGGTACAATGATAATATAGTAAAGAAAGTGAATGGAGTTGAGGACACTTGGTAAAAGCACTCTCAACTGAGAAAAGCAACAATGTCATGCTATACTCTTCACATTTTCTGTACAAATCAGTCCTATTTTCTGTTATTACGAAGAGAATAAATGGAAAATGAATTAATTACTGATCTCTATAGTTTGTTGATTGCACTCTACGTTCTATCTAACGAAAAATTCTTTTGTATTTTTTAACATAAATAGAACTTTCATCAACACCAACATTAAATCTCACACCTACTAAAAAAAATTTTCGGTGTTGCTACGACATTAGCAAGATAGACATGGAAAATAACAATTGATGTCGTTTATACATCGGCCTCTTCAATCTACATACTCTTAACTCAAAGAATGTCATATCAATGCATCATCTGTATTAATAATTAACAAATAAGTTTATCTAATACTATTTTCTTCGCTACCACCACCAGATGGAAACAGAAGTGTGGTCGTGTAGACTTTTTTTTGTATAGATGGAGAAAAGAATAAAGAAGAGAATTTCCAAGTCAAATGAGATACAATTTACCATTTATTTATCTTATTTAAGAATAACGAATACAAAGAAAGATACCTGTATTAAAATATTTTTACCAACTGAAACCTTACAAACACTTTTGAAAATGAATCGAAGAATATAGAATAAGAAAAAAATGATTCCTCTCCTATTCGAAATAACTAATCTGTCAGAGCTAATATGTTTTTTTTTTTATTATTGGTGAAACGATGAAATGATTAATATGTTGTGTCACCTGTCTTTTTTTCATCTATTGATCACTTTCTTGATCTTTATATATCGTTATCATCTTAAGCAAAACATGTGTGCCTGCCTGTATACTGTATCATTCCCAAAGTTTGTATTTGTATATAAAAACAATGTTAATAACAACAAAAACAAGTATATCCCACACATCGTAACATATGTATACCTTTTCTTATTCTTTTGTTTTTCAAAAAATCTTACGTCATAACTCTTCCTCCGTTGTTCAGATCTTTAATATCGAATGCTCATTAACGTATCAATTTACGCACACAATGGGATAAAAAAATCCATGATTTTTATCATAGATGCACACATTAGCAAAATTAGATATAGCAAAAACAAATACCTAAATGTGGTTTTTCTTCTTTTTTTTTTTTTCTCTGTCACAGATAAATTACTAAACATCACATCGTATCTATATCTATACATAAAGACGATGAAAAATATCCTATATAGTTTTTTTATAAACGTTGCATAGAGAACAAACAAAGAAAAAATATATTTGGAAAATAGAACAATTTTCGTATAGATAGCCACATCTAGTCCTGTAAATCGTGCAAAAAAAAAAAAAAAGAAGAAGAATAGAAGAGATTATGGAATAACAAAGCATTTCGTCAAATAACAACGTTTACTAGTTTTTTTCATTAACAACAACAGAACCACTTTCCTTTAAATTAAGAATAATTTGGTTTACGACGAAGTTACAATGACAAAAAATTTTTACACGATGTCAATACACATGATGTTTATTCTAATGTTTTATAAGTTCTAAAACATATAATATAATCTGAAAGACTTTTAGATTGCATCACTGATGTTGATATATTTTGAAGCCCTTTAGAATTATTGTTGATTCTGTTTTTGGATTCACTCAACAAAAGCATATCTTATATAGAAGACAATGTCTTTTATCCTGTCTCACATAATAGTTTTAATTATTAGAGATTATTATGTTTATTTATGCTAAATACATTGAGGCGTTGATTAAGCCCATTATTTCTGAATTTTGTATCTGTAGGTGTAGATTTTTTAAATGTGATATTGGAAAATCACAATTTTCGTTAATCATTAACCATTCAATGTATTTTAATAATAGATTCAAAAAATTATTTGTAGTTTGAAGTGGTAGAAGGTTCTTCATCTTTCGTTTGACCACTATATTAGGTTCAAATAAGAAAAAAATCTAAGCAAATCAGTGATTTATTGAAGCAACTGTTCTCTAAAATAGAAATAGAATCTTGAACTATGTACTACTTATATTCTATATGAATGTGAGTTATATTAAATGTTACAATAGTTATAGATTTTCATTGAAAAACTGATTACAAGAATGTTTACAAGAAAAATGGACATTTGTACAGAGAAATGAATAAAGATTTTCAACTTTATGAAATAATTAAATATAAATTATCGCTTTTTCATACAAATTAAAATGAATTAATCAACCATTCTAGAATGGTAATAGGAAAAACTAATTATAACTAAAATTGAGTCTTAACAAAATTGTTTCATTTGTAAATTTTGAAGCAAAAGAAGAAAAACATATCTACAAACAAACAAAAAAATTAAATCGTAATGATTTTTTTTCTGCGTTTTTTACTAAGCCTTTTTTCACGACCAAACGTCTTATTTGTTTTATATTTGTCAATGTCCTATATATATCTCTGATTCAAACGCTGTATTCTTTTATACATATTATGAACGTGTATGTGTCTATGCATAATTGAAGTTCATTTGTTCTACTTCTTTCTTAGGTTTTTTTTTTTTTTTTTTTTTGTTTTTTTGAATAATGTTGTATACAACTAGTGTAACATTATTTTACATTAAATACTATATGAGAAATTTCAATGACATTTTTCGAGAGTTTGATAAATTTCTCTTTTGATTAATCTCTGATGTATCTGTTAACATTCTAAAAATTCGTTGTCATTTTGTTGGCATTTTCCTCCATCTTCATTTTCTATTTCTTTTTTTAACATAATGTGTATATTCATTTCTTGTTCATCATTTGTCATGTCTTTATCCTAAAACTATATGCAATTTTTTTTTTTTTTTTGGCAAAAGGTCGGTTCAATAAAGAGAAAATTTTTATATTGTCTTGAACAATTTCTTATTTCTTTTATATGTACAAAAGGTGACTGTAAGAGTTAATATTAAACCTATAGATTCATGTGAACTTTTTTTAACATAGTTTTGAGATATATATTTATTCATCATTTCTTCTATAAATAGTTTAATTTGAAATGAGTTGAAAATATTACTTTTTTTTTCATTTTTATTCAATATTTTTTAATATATAAGTAAAAAATTAGATTAAAAGATTTTCTTCTAAAACTTTCAAAAAACAATTACATTATTCAATTTATGAATTATAATATTATTATATCACTTTTATTCTAGATTTAATGACAATGGTACTAAGTCGATCGTATTTGATATTTATAGTTTTGACTTCTCTATTAGAAATTAGCTTTATGTTAAAATGTTACGATGATAATAGTTATAATATTTCTGATAATCAATATCGTCCCCTGTTGATAGACAATTGTCATTCGTGCATGATTTTTATTGGACTATTATCAATAACAACAACAATAACAACAACAACAACTTTATCAATGACTGAAAAAGAATCGATAGTTTCTATTGACGACGATGATCTTGACTATTATCGTAATAAACGTTTCGTTGACTATGTTAATGAAAATGTTCATATTTCTAAACGAATAACACTCTATCCATTTTCATCTATTACACGAAGTAATCAACAACAGCAGCAACACCGTTATATATCGACTCGACGTTGTATTAAAGAAGAAGAATCACCCATATACGGTTATGATGATAAAAATTGCTTTTGTAATACGGATTATTGTAATACAAATATTGAACGTTGTAAACTTGAAATATCATTCAAACCAATGTTTCCGTGTTATGATGGTCTTACTAATTCATTGAAAATACGTCAAAAATGTTGTAGTTGTCAAATACGTGTAATAAAAACGACGTATTATGGATCTAATTTACAATATCAATGTTTGACATTTGGACAAATTGATATTGACAATAACAACGATAGTGAACAACAAAGTTGTACATGTCAAAAAGCAATGTGCAATGAAGATTTTCAAACGTGCAATCATCAACGTCAAAATTATTCTTTTAGAAAAAATAAACGAGTCGAAAATCTTACAACATCCACAATATCTTATTTTATATCTAATCCATTTTGGAATCGTTGGACATCCATACGAGAAGAAAATTATAAGAATAAACAGTATGAAGAAAGTGCATCAACAACGACTACGATTGTTCCAGATTGGCAAAGAACTACAACTACAACTTCTATAACTAGTACATCTACATATTCGTTGATAGTCAATACGACTAGTTTAAATACACCTCTAGAGACAACAGAAAATATGACCGTAATGGAGTACATGCTAGAATCAACACCATCAGATTTATATAATGAGACCGATGGCAAATTGATGATAATTAGTTTGGAAAATAGTACATCAGCGATTATTGAACAACAACAACCCATTGTCGAGGAGATAGTGGAAGCCACGACACAAACTGTTTGGACTACTCAACAAACACTTCAGGATGATCAAATAGTTATGGATTATACGAATGATACCGATCAAAATATGGTATTTGAAAAATTCAATGATAATAATCTTCCATATGATGAATCGATAGAAGAAGTTACAATTAATAACGATTTATTCTTAACTAATACTATCTCAAACTTGAATTCTTCACAACAGCATAACGTCGAAATTCTCGATCACATTTTACCTATCTTATTCAATACAACAACAGATTATTCGACGATCATTAATTATTCAAATACCAGTGATTCATCATTGACAACATTCGTTTTTCGTACTTCTCAAACATCTTCCACTGTAAAACAACTTATTGAAAATACATTTGTATCTGTTCTACTTAAAAATTTTACTCAAAATTTTGAAAATAGACTCGAATCTCTCAATAACAACAAAAGTTCAATATCTTCAAATGACGTAATGCAATTAAAAGGCCGTTATAGTTCAGGTTATATGAAAATTTGTAGTCATTTACTTTTGTTTTGGTGTGTTTTTATCTTTCTTCTCGTTTAAAAAATTGAAGCAAAGATTATAATTTAGATCTGTTTGAAAGTAAATGAAAAACTTTTCTGTACAATCTACATCAGACCATTGTAGTCTATCATTTATAGTATTAAAAAAGGCCAAAAAATCAGCTTCGAGAGAAGCAGTTATATATTTATGTTAAGTTTTCTTTCGTTTTTGTTATACAAGACATTTGTATATTTTTTATATATTGGCACAATTTCATGTTTAATGTTGAGCTATAATGAGCTAATAAATAGAGAAGTGATCAATACTTATTTATGAAATTAACTAATCCTAATTATTTTAGAGAACAAATTAAATACTCACGAGGGAACCCCACGAAGTGATTAAACGCTTTTTGCTCGGAATCTAGTGGGTTATAGGTTATCGACCATGCTGATTACGAATACGACCATGCGGCTTCCGCATAGCCCTTCGAAGACCTGGTTTTC